TCCAAGATTTACTTCAAGATTTTGGAAATCTTTGTAAGGGTCTTTGGGTACTCGATTGAACTTTAGTATTACTTTTCATCCTCAAACTGATGGTCAATCAGAGCGAACGATTCAGATTTGGAAGATATGTTAAGAGCATGTGCTATTGAATTTCATGGATCGTATGAAGTATTGTATGGAAGGAAGTATAAAACGCCACTTAATTGGTATGAATTAAAAGATCGGGAAGTGCATGGCCCAGACTTGATTAAAGAAGTTGAAGAAAAGTTTCAGGTAATCCATCACAATCTTAAAGTTGCATTAGACAGACAAAAGTCATACGCGGATTTAGAGAGGAAAGAAAATGAATTTCAAGTATGAAACAAAGTTTTCCTCAAATTATCACCTTAGAAGAAAGTACTCCATTTTGGGAGTAAAGGAAAGCTCAGCCCTAGATTCATTGGACCTTATGAAGTTTCAAAGCAAGTTGGACCCGTGGCATATCAGTTAATCTTGCCACCAGAGTTAGAAAATATTCACAATGTGTTCCATGTGTCTATGCTTCAGAGATATCGATCAGATCCTACGCACATCATAACTCCAGACGAGATAGAAGTTCAATCTGACCTGACATACGAGGAAAAACCGGTGCAGATTGTATTGTAAGAAATCAAACAGCTAAGAAACAAGATGATTTCGTTAGTTAAAGTTCTCTTGAGAAACCATAAAGTAGAACAAGTTACTTGAGAACATGAAGAAGATATGAGGAGACAATATCCTCACCTCTTTGTGTAATGAAAATTTGAGGACGAATTTTTCTTAAGGGGGAGAATTGTAACATCTCAAATATGGGGCAGTGACCAAATTATAAGAATTCAAAACTTAGTGGTTTCATTGGAATAACTTAAAAAGTTCAAGGATTTATTGTGGAATTTTGTGTATGACTTGATATCAAAATTTGATTATTGGAAGGGCATTGTGGTATTTTCACAAGAAGAATTTTTATCTTCCATTTTAAGATATATAAAACACGTGAAAGATAAGGCAAAAGTATGGAACCTTATTTATCTTCTTCATCCTTGCTCGTGGAAACCATTTCAAAGGTGAGTAAGTTTTAGTTGGTGTTTTATTGAAATTTTTGGCTTGGTTGTGGTCTTTGGGTATTATATAAGCTTAAGGAAAACTTAAGGTTGATTAAAACTAAGAAATTAGTGAATTATCAATGGATTAGCAAAATGGGTTTTTAAGTGAAATTATAAAATATGGTTAGGAAGTGGATTCTAATTGCATATTTGACTTGTCAAGGGTCAAATTAAAGTGTTTGAAGTATTAGAAATGATTTAAGAACATGATTGAAATTAGGGTATGATTTTTAGTCTCAAGTGTTTTAGTGGGATTTTGGATGGTTAGGAGTGTTGAAGTGATAAAAGTTTGTTTTGATGAATGAAGTTGAGTTTAAAGGCATAAAGGGAGATAAAAGTAGAATATTTAGGTAAGTTTTGGTTAAATTTCTAAATAAAAATGGTAATTTCTGGGCAAGGGTATCGGTACTAGAAGAACAGTACCGATACTTCAAGGCAAAATCAGTTTGAGTTCAAGGATCTGTATTGGTACTGATTGAGGGAGGTACCGATACTGAAAGAGGAGTATTGATATCAGGAGTAAGGTATCGATACCACTATCAGGTTTGAAATTCCAGAATGTCGAAATGGTATAGGTACCGAAGTGGGTATTGATACCATAGAATGGAAGTATCAGTACTGTAGTGGGAGTACCGATACTAAGGCGCCTGAAATGATAAACTAAGTGTTTCTTTCAGCTTAAGTTATTATATATGGTTATAAGTAATATGAATTTTGATATGTATTTTCGATTGTTCTTGTGTAGACATCGAACAAGTTAAAATTTTGGACAACTCGACATTATAGATTATCGATCAAAAGTGATAAGGATTTCGATTAGGACTTCAGTAAGGCAAAGGTGAGTGCAACTCATTTGTTTATATTCGATTTGAGGGCGGCTTGCGATAAGCCAACCTCAGAGTTTTCGATCGAAAACCTTTTAATTTATTTTATGTTATATTTTATAATGTTTTATTCAAGTTATATTACTTAAGTTATGCTTTGATGTTTATGTGTACATGATTATGAAAATGTGACATGTGAATATGTGTATAAGAAAACACTCGATGTGAAAGTTCCTATGTGAATAAGATACCCTTTGATTTATGAAATGATGAATAATTAAATGGTTAAAAGCCAAAGGTATATGTATGAGGATTAGAGGTATAGTTTGCATGCCAATAGTCGAGGGTTCTATGTGGTCCTTCGGGACAAATATGTGGCACTTCGGTGCAAATTATGTGAGCTGTGGTGATAGCATTAGTGCACAACCTCAAAGTACTCAAATACCTAGAGTTCTCAGTAGTATACATTGGGCATTTGAAAACAAAGTTATATAAATCGAATAAGGTATAAAAGAATACATTCTTGTTAGGAAAGGAAATTTAAATTCCTTACAAAATGTTTATATGAAATGAATAAAGATTTCGTTTTCAAAGTTTAATTTGACTCGTATTTGCCTCACTAAGTCAACGACTTAGTGTGTGATTGTTTCACATGTAGGTTAGAAGAAGTCTGAGGATTCAGGTTAGGCGAGGACAGTATACTCCCGCAAAGATTAGATCAAAACAAATTTAAATGTATGTTTCTTGTAAATTGTAAACTGTTGGCATGTACTACAAGTTAAATTGAAATGCTCTGATCTATTTTGTAAGCTTATACTTTTGTATTTATGTAAATTATTAAGTGTTTATTTAAATATTAATATGAGTTTTATTATTTGCTTTATTTTAAGAGTTCCATCATTTTAATACGAATAAAAATTTAAATTTTCCCTACTTTTTAATAGTCAATGATTTGAATAGTTAATGTGACACCTCAGATTCGTATCCGGGTCGGGTACGGGTTAGGGGTGTTATAACAGTAGCCTAGCCTAATGGCTAAGGCATGACACACCATCCCCTTTTATATAGGTTCAAAACCCACCGACCATACTTTAATTTTTTTTAACAAACTGATAATGTTCAAATTCAAATACAAGTTATTGGATTTTTAGGAAAATTCAAAAAACTGACATAAAACCTTAAGAAACTTTCAATTTGGTCTCTTAAAAAATTTAAGAAAACATTTGCCCCAACCTGACGGTGTGACATTTCCATTTAAGAACTGTGTTTCTATGGGGAGACGAAAATGTCCAACGGATTCAATAAAAAATAAAGAGGAGGAGCTCAATCAACTTATGACTAAAGAATTATCTCATCGTTCATCAACACTGGACTCTTGTGTATACAATATATGAACAATCATCCAATCATATCAACCTCACTTATGAAATGTTTGATAACACAATAGAACTCATTTAAGGTTACTTTAAATCTATTATCCTTCTATCAAAACTATAGAATAACTTTATATCACTTTTATTAAGGCGACTAAACGGATTACGACAGCTATAGAAAGTTCAACCCTTCTAATTTGAATAAAGGGTCATAGCTGGTGAGAACATCTTCACATGTCAAGTCCTCCCCACACCTCAAAGCCTTCGGAGAAATAACATTTTCATCAGTAGGATCCCATAATAACACCTCTGGAAAAGAAACCTCAAGGACTCCGAAAGACATGAAAAAAAGGTCTCTAGAGAAAGGACCTTGGATATCTAACATCCCTTGGGAAGTCACTACATGTTGACATGACTTCTGACATGCTCATGTGACCTACTAGAACCAAATTCATCACCACCTGACTGTATCCACGTAGCCTGCTGACCTACGAGTAGGCATCATATCTCTGCACCCTGACATTAATATTAAGAGTTACTATAAAACATCTCAACCAAAATCGAGAGAGGAAGCCACCTAGATGGAACCATCTCACTCGCACTTCTCCACTATCTCATCACAGAGACAAACAACATTGACACCAACCAACAATTGTTCTCTCATCGAATGTGGCTCTCTGTCTAAACTAGAAGGGGAATACCACCTATATCTAGCCTTCGTAACCCATATGGTCCCATCAACAAATGATACGGTGAGCATGGAACACCTCCTATCAGAAAATAATCAATTGAAATATACTCCAAAAGGAGAAATAATCATAAGTGAGGCCCTCATTATTTTGGAAAAATATCCAAAATATTGAAAGTATCTTATGGACTTTGAAGTTTTACATTTATTGATGGGGCCAAATAGTTATGATGTCTATAGGAGATTCACTCCTTCCAATTTGGATGGAGAATCGCAGTTGGTAAGAGAAAGGTTCTTGGCCAATGTCAATGTTCTTTGTCTCCATTATATGAGATAACAGAGAAGTGAGAATGAGGTGGTTTCATCTAGGTGGCCTCCTCTCTCTGATTTTGGTCAATAGATTTTATAGTGACTCTTAAAGTTAGTATTAGGTATAGGGATATAATGGATACTTGTAAGTTGGTAAGTCATGTGGATATGCCAAATAACGATGGATTTGGTTATGATAGGTCATGTGGACGTGTCGAAAGTCATATCAACATATCACGATTTCCCAAAAAAATCTTAGACATTCAAAGTCCTATTTTAGAGACAATTTCTTAATGTCTTTTGAAGTCCTCGTGATTTCTTCTCACTCACTCGAATTCGAATTTCAGTGCGTGGATTAGTATTGCTAATTGGTGGATGAGGTTTGTCTGTAGAGTAAACCCACAATCTGTGGAGGCCATTGTTGATACTGTATCGTTCGCATGGAAATTTATCGTACGGCATTTGAAGCTCGAAATTTGATTGAGATAAAGAAACTTGGGTAAAGCCACTGGTAGGCACGGCATTGGCCTTGAAGGAAATCAGCAGACTGAAACGCAGGCAAAGAAGCAAACGGAGTAGTGGAAACATAGTCATCTAACCTCTTAAAACAGCTGAATGGGATTGAATTGTGCTTTGTGCAAATTGAAGTTGCGTTTTCGGCATATTTATAAATAATGCGTTTTGTTTTCGACAAAATTGAAACAAAAGTATCAAAATTCGACAGAAAGTACAAATGGGGTGCCACTAAACGACAGTTTTGTTCCTTGGAGCATAGAACAACTGTAAGAGCATAGAGATTGCAGGGGACCAACACATGTCCCAAGCCATCCAAGTTCCTGTTTTATTTGGATTATACCATATCGTAATAACTTATTATATAAAGTATCAAACTAGTTCATCAGCAATGAACCCTACTGCGACAAGGAATTTGCCACATCGATCACAAAACGGTATCTGACATCAGATTTTGCTAGCCTTTCCATGGCAGTGTTGATCTCATCTATCCGAATCAGCTCGATATCTGCAGCTATATTGTGCTTGGCACAAAACTCTAGCATCTCCTGAGTTTCTTTCATCCCTCCGAAATCACTTCCTCCGACAAGTTTCCGTCCTGTGACCCAAAAATACGCATGTAAGGTTCTATTGTGTGTGTGTGTGTTTTCTGTTAAACTAAGACCCATACATTTGAGCCTGAAATTTAGACCCATCGTATGGAACACATATCGACTTATAGGCCAACAAGGACAGAAACATACCGGAAACTAAAGGAAAAACAGGCAATTCCAGTGGCTTATTAGGCAATCCCAAAGTGACCAATTTTCCATTCACTTTCAGCAGACTAAGCAATGGAAGTAGGGGATGAGCTGCAGACACTGTGTCAATTATATAGTCCATGCTGCCAATAGCTGACTGAAAAGTTCAAGGAGTAAGCACAAACTTGTTTAAAATATTTCAATTACCTGTCGCTTTAGTAGTGGATCATGATTAAATTGTTCAAACTGAGACATCAAGAGCGCCTTTAGTTCATCTAATTTGCAAATTCAATTAATCATGTACCTTGATTTTTGCAGGATCACTGGAAACGAGGAATGAGTCAGCCCCAAGCCTATCGATTGCTTCAGACTCCTTCTGAGCAGAGCTACTAATGACAGTGACTTTCAACCCAAAGGCCTTAGCAATCTTGACAGCAACATGACCAAGCCCACCAAGCCCGGCAACACCAAGATGCTTTCCTGCCTCTGTCATTCCATAATATTTCATAGGGCTGTACACTGTGATCCCTGCACATAACAATGGTGCACCCGCATCCAGTGGCAAGTTATCAGGAAACAATAGCACATAGCGCTGGTCGACCACGATCATATCCGAATAACCACCATAATTTTTTGTCCCATCTGGATTGTGAGAGTTATAGGTAAATATTAACCGAGGGCAATAGTTCTCCAGATCCTGCTGGCAGCATTCACATGTCTTGCAGGAGCCAACTAAAACTCCAACCCCAACGCGATCACCAACTTTGAATTTTGTCACATTCTTCCCTACTTTTGTAGCAACACCAACAATTTCATGCCTGCAGGGCAACACCATATGCAATACTTATGCACGTTCCAGTAAAATGGACTAGAAAGATAATAGCATCCATCCAACAACATCTACAAAATACACCATTTAATTAGGAACTCGGCTGAAAAGTTCCTAATCTGCAACTACTCAGAGGTTTGCGTTTGCTTGATCAGCTGACTTCATATTTTTGCTTTTTCAGAACCATTTTGTTTTTTCCTTCATTTGTCACCTGCCTTTTAGCAGCCTGGAATAATTTTAGCAGGGCTCCCACTTTCTTTTGATAAAATTATAGCATACATCCCTAAAAATGTTATTCTTCAACCATATGAATTACAATTTAAATATGACATTACAGCAAATAAGTCACGTGTAGGTGTACGATTAAGGTTAAGAAAGGGAATCACTGTGCACAATCTAAGAACTACGTATTTACTTGAAGTGGCTTGCTTTAATATGAAAATATCCACTCATTTATGTCAGATTAGGAACATTTATGCCCCGCAGCTGATCATCACTAGAAGGAAAATCAGTTTCAAATAGAAATTTGAAACTAGAGAAGAAAACTTGATAAAGCATCGGTCATTTGGCACTCTCCTATGAAAATAGAACTGATACATACTAGTAAAAACACTCTTTGCAGCAAGTAGCCTCTTAAGTGAAGGATTAGAAAATAGAAACTAAACTGTTAATAGTCTAAAAGAAAATATAATCTCAATGGATAAAGTAACCATAATCTAAACGGAAGAGTAAATATCATCTAGTATAATGTTTTAGAGGATTCACTGCAAAGAGAAGACGCTACTTAAATATGCACCTGGAGAAAAAAGGGTGAGGGTAGCATAAACCTAAACGATAATTAGAAACCTTCTTTTTTATGACATTTCTATTTTGTAATACCCTTTACTGCGTATGATTGCATAAACAAACATCAGTCATTTGTTAGTTGCCAGTCAATAGCTAACTTAAGCACCTCTACATAACACAAAGATTACAGGTCGATGGTGTTGTATCAGAAATAACACAAATAAAAAAGTAGAATAAACATCAACACATTAAAAACGCATCATAGCTAATAATTTGATCACTACAGATTAGCATCATAATTTACAATGCATGTAAGTTTAAGTATCATACCCAGGAACAATAGGGTAAGAGGTGAAACCCCAGTCATTTTTGAGAATATGCAGGTCTGAGTGGCACACTCCACAATAAAGAATCTTTAAAGTGACATCCTCATCACCATTTTCCCTGCAAAAGAAAATTGAATGAATTCATAACAAGTCAACCATCACCACTCGAATTATGTCTACTATAAAGACTGAATTGTTAATATCATAGTCCTCATGTTAGATAGCAGTGAGGTGAATGAAAAATCTCTCCTAACAAATAAAGCCTAAATTAGATGTTGGGTTACTTATCTCAAATATTTCGCCCACCTCCTCTCCTGCAAGACTATTGGAATTTAATACAAGTACTTGCAAATCCCATTCTACTGCAACTTTATGCTTCGACTTCTCTTAGTAACAAAAATAAAACAAAAAAACTAAAGCAATTTTCCTTTTATTGCGGTTTAACCATAGAATGATAGAATTGTTCTCTTAATAGTGTAAACCAATAATAAAGGAACATGTATTAAAAAAAATACAAAATTTTCTTATCTTGTTATTAATCATGAGTTAAGTTTATATTTTCATTGACGATCAGGCCAGGCAGAAGAACATGTTGAGTAAAAGGCTAAGAGAATAGCAGAAAAGAAAAAGGGAAATTGCTATTATGGAGAAAGAAGAGTACCTTCTGGAGAAATAGAAAGGGGAGAGGGTTCCGGATGGATCTGTAGCAGCCCAACCAAATGCTTTTTGTTGCTTATCTTCCTCTACTGTTTTTGCCATTGCCTTCCTCTTTTTTCCTTTCTGCTGCGTGCAAAAACACTGAGTGAATGACGCATTAGGCCTCTCTCACACTGCATTTAGCGAATTAAGTAATTTTGAATTTTTGTAGGGTCAATTACTGTATTGATCATTTTACTTTTATATTTGTACACTTTCTCTTACTAAATTTAAATATATTATGATTCGGTCACTTATTTTATCAATTTATTACATTTTGGTCACTTTTTCTGTACATTATTATATTTTGGTCACCAATCCATTAATGATAACGTAAAACTTTAGTTAAAAGGATTAACTATTGATAGGACCCTTAATTTTATATGAAATACTAATTTGACCTTAAAATTTATATAAAATGTTAATTGACTCATGAACGTTGGATAGAATATCAATTTGACTCCTGAATTTTAGGGTTGAGTAACGAAACCGAGAAAACTGAAAAACCGACACGAACTGAGTAAAACAGTTCAGTTCAGTTCGGGTTTACCTTTAAACGGTTCGGTTTTGGGTTGATTTAAAGAATCAATTCTATTGATTATGTTCGATTCGGTTTTTCCATATGGAACCCACTTGTTCCATATTGAACCGAATAGACAAATTTTTTTTGAATTTATACTTTCAAGTGAATTTTTCATTGAAAAACCGGCGAACCGAACATAACTGAAAAAACTGTATTACCGAACCGAACCGAAAAAATCGGTTTCACATAATTCGGTTTTTTAACCATTCGATTTCGGTTTAAATTTTAAAAACCGTTTATTTCGGTTCAATTTTTAGTAAAAAATCGAACCGAATACACCCCTACTGAATTTAACCAAAGTCTCTCATCCTCAGCCACCACTTATTACCGTCGTTGCATATCATTGTTGTTCACATCTTCAGTTGTCACCGACCGTCGACTATTGGACCTCAAAAATTCTAATTACACCTTTTTAAAACTACATAATTTATTAAATTGATGATAATTAAAAATAATAATAAATTCTTAATATTTAAAAATTGTATTAATAGAGTGTTGTCATACAATCATGTTATTGGGGTTCCTTTCATACGTTTGAGCAAGAACGACAAGATTTCACCTTAAAGGGGGTGAACTTATAAAATTTTAAGGAGAGAATTTATAGATTTTAAGGAATACGAAACATATTTTTAATAAAAAAATACAAACAAGGTACTTAAAATATTTATAGATTTTAAAATTTTTAGGAGGTAGGACCAACCCACTGGCTCCTCTAAGTCCATGTCTACGTTTGAGTTTCTTAGCATTACAAATGAAGCTTGGAATATTTTTTTTATCACTCAAGTGTTTGTTTCTATCACCCCGTGTAATTCCTTTTCTTGAAATTTTTTGTTTGGTATTTTAATAAAAAATAAATGCTTGCAGCTGGGGAGAACACACGAGCAGCTGGTTTATCTTCCAACGGAAAACACGAGGACTCTTGAATTCCGAAAGTCATGCGAAGCAGAGAAATCCAGGTGCAAATGATCTTCCGTTTTCTAAATGCCCGTCAATTGTTGTTAAAGGCTATAAATAAAATATTTTTTCGTTAACGAAAGCAACTCCAATAATTTTTTTTTTTAATTCCATAAGCAAAGTGAAAGTGTATTAAAAATTTATTTACCATTAATATAGTTTGGGTTAACTACTTCAAATACCACCAACCTTTAAGCATTGACTCGTTTATACCACAAACGTTTCAATTTTGTCAATTTTAGCACTAACGTTTACTTTTAAGTGCAATTATACCTTTGTCGTTAATGATTTAATGGAACGATGAGTTGGCAACGGCATATCGTGACGTTGCTGAAGTGGATGCCTCATCTAAACGACGTCGTTTTGACGTTTCTATTTTAATGCTCAAAATACCCAAAATGACGTCATTTTGCTTGAAAGGAATATTTTTCCTAGGGACTAAGCTGAAATTGTTCCCATTATTTTTTTCTCTTCTTCCTCCTACATATGCATCTCCTTTTCCATGGTTTTCTTGGCAACCAAACGGTCACCATCTGGCATCGTTTGGATTTCTCGCCGTTTTTCTCATCAAGATCGTTGTATCCTTTTTCGGTCACCATCTTCACTATGATGTTCATCGCTAAATCCGAGAACTTATCCTTTCATTTGAATGACAACAACACCTTTGTTCGCCGTAAAATCGGTGCATATGCTTTTGATGCATTCATCGGCAAATTTTGGACCATTGTTCTCGGATCCTTGTCAATTATCCTGGTATATATATATATAGGGTAAACTACTTCAAATATCACTCACCTTTAGGCTCGGGTTCGTTTATGCCACAAACATTTCAATTTTGCCAATCTTAACACTAACGTTTAAGTTTAACTGCAATTATGTCACTCCGTCGTTAATGTCTTAACGGCATGATGACATTGCACCTCCACGTCGTGACGTTGATAACGTGACTCCCTTACCAAAATGACGTCATTTTGGCATGACTGTGTTGGTGCTAAAAAACCTCTAAACCAAAACGGCGTAGTTTAGTTTGAGAAAATTTAGTAAATAATGCATTTGAAGGAATTTGAACCCATAACCTTTGGTTAATACTTAACCACTATGCCAACTCAAATTTTTTGATATAATTATGTAAACATAATATGCATAACATGAGTCAGCATTCCAAAAGTTACTGTCTAAAAAACCCATGACATTATTAAAATTCCCAAAACATAACCTTAAATTCCAGAAAATCTCAAAAAAAACTCCTAAATTCCTAAAAATCTCAAAAAATCATAAACAATCCCGTGCCTAAAGGTGAGTGGTATTTGAAGTAGTTTACCCTAATTTTTAAGTATACTTATTATAGTTTATTTTATTATAGTATATATTATATTCGAAATATGATAATTTAATCATGATGAAAACTATTAATATCAAATTGTTTACTTTTGAATGCACATAATAAATTTTATTTGACTTATTTCAAATATTTTTAACCACTTAAACATATATAATTTAATTATCAACCCTAAAAATAAACTTTTAAGATATTGATCTTAATTGCACTAATTAGAAAAATGTTCTTAACCACTTAATTATAAAGTTTACAGAATAATCTGGAACTTTCAGTGGACTAATATAATTAAACTTAAAAATCACTCTGGAAATTTCCAAAATAAAAGGAGTAGAAATTAGACCTCATTTTTAACAATTTCGGTTCATGGACTAAATTGCACATTTTGTAAAACTGGGCAGAAAATAGATTCCAAACAAACACACTGTTTTCGACTTAAAACACGAGATTAACCCTCCTAATGACCACAAAATTAAATCTAATCACTTATAATATTTTACCAATTATTTTAACACATTAAAATTAAATTAGAATCATTAAAACAACATAAAAATTCAAGATGTTCATGTTATTTAATATACATTAAGCACAAACACTATTGATGTCACTTCTGTTATTGACTCCAAATGAACATTTAGAACATGCTTAATATGGAATTAAATCAATAACACAAGTTCAATGTATCAAACTGTTCAAATATATTTTGTTATTGACTCCCTAAATTTTTTGGGATTTTTAGGAATTTAAGAGTTTTTTGAGATTTTCTGGAATTTAAGGTTTTTTTGGGAATTTCAATAATTTCATGGGTTTTCTAGAAAGTAACTATTGGAATGCTCATGTTATGTATATTATGTTTATAGAATTACATCAAAAAATTAAGTTGGCATAGTGGTTAAGTATTAACCTTTATTTCAAAAGTTTATGGGTTCAAATCCCTTCAAATGTATTATATACAAAAATTTCTCAAATAAAACTATGTCTTTTTGAGGTTTTTTAGAACCATCCATTCATGCCAAAACGATGTTGTTTTGGTGAGGGAGCCACGTCAGCAATGTCACGACGTGGAGGTGTCATGTCATTGTGTCATTAAGCCATTAACGGTGGAGTGGCATAATTACAGTTAAACTTAAATGTTAGTGTTAAAATTAACAAAATTGAAACGTTGGTAGCATAAACAAGTCCGAGCCTAAAGGTGACTGGTATTTGAAGTAGTTTACCCATATATATATATATATATATCCTTGTAATGTCATGCATGTTTAACTAAATTTCAAATATACTATCTGAACATAATCAATAACATGTGATTTCAACCATTGATCGTGTAACACCCCAAATATCAGGTCAGTGACCAATATGTAAGAATTTAAAATTAAGTGGTTTAATTAAAATAAATTGAAAAGTTCAAGGATTTATTTTGGAAATTTTGTTTAGTACTTGATATCAAAGTTGGAATATTGGAAGGGCATTATGGTATTTTCAAAGGATGGATTTTTATTTTCCCTCTTTAAGGGATATATAACACGTGGAAGATAAAGAAAAATTTGGAACCATTGTTATCTTCTTTATCGTTGCCGTGAGCTCCATTTCAAAGGTGAGTTGATTTTAAGTTGTTTGTTCCTTGAATTTTTAGTTGGTTCTTGTTCTTTGGGGGATATATAAGCTTAAGGAAAGCTTATGGTTCAGTAAAACTAAGAGATGAATGAATTATAGATAAATTTGTAAAATGGGGTTTTAAGGGATATGTTGATATGGTTTAGTTTTTGGATTTCTATGGATAAATTTGACTTGTCAAGGGTTTAATTAAGAAGTTAGAAGTATTAGAAATGATTTAGAATATCATTGAAATTATGGTATGATTTTTAGTCTCAAGTGTTTTAGTGGGATTTTGGATGGTTAGGAGTGTTAAAGTGATATAAGTTGGTTTTGATAAGAGTAATTGAGTTAAAAGGAATGAAAGGAGATAAAAGTGGGAGATTTTGGTGAGTTATGGTTAATTTTCAAATTGAAATAGGTAATTTTTGGGTAAGGGTATCGGTACTAGAAGAACAGTAAAGATACTTCAAGGCAAAAATAGTTGAATTTGAGGAATAGTATCGATGCTGATTAAAGAAGGTATTGATACTAAAATGGGGATATTGATACCAAGATTAGGGTATCGATACTATTATCAAGTATAAAATTTCAAAATGCTAAAATAGTATCGGTACTGAAGTGGGTA